CACAACATAAATTAAAAGCTCCTTTCACAGCTATCAGCAATAAGAAAGCATGTTTTTTCTGCCTTCTTCTTCACCTCTCACCCCGTAACTTGAGGACCTGGAGTAGATATTTGTCTTCAGAATTGCCTCTCATTGACCCTTCAAAACTGTGAAGCAGTAATAACTCTAAATACCCTGTGGGGTTAAGTAATCAATACCTCTGGTTAAGTCCTGAAGCATGCAAGTTGGGTAGTGAGTGGGGAGAAGAGAGGAAAAACAGTAAATGAAAAGAAGTGGGTGGACAGGAGATGGAAAGATAGCTGCATATGGTGAGGAGTGGTAGAGTACCACCAGTAGTAATTCCTTCAGGTGTCATACTGCCCCCAAAGTCGGTCAACCCTGACCTTGCACTCTCATATGAGAGTATTCCTAAATCTATGAGAAATGCCACCTGGACAGTAAAATTAACCAGTGTCCAGGAATGCTTGCCTTGCCTCTCAGGATAACCGGAAGAACTAGCAGTTTCACCTTTCCCTTGGAATGGTTGAATATTTACTCAAGGAACTCCCCACTTCCATTCCACCTAGCCCTTCAGGTGAGCAAGTTGTGAACAGAGAAGTAACTCAATACCTAAAAAATAATCGAGCTATGGGACAAGCTTTAATAACAATGGAAACCCCAGGTCAGCACCAAGAACATTAACTGTTAACTTCCTTGAGGCATTAACCCTACCATACAGTTAGTTAAGGATGCCTGTCTGGGAAAAGATAGTGCCTAAGAAATGTTGGTACTGAACAGCATAGCCTGGTTTCTAGTTAGAAACAGCCTTAGGTGTATCAAGGAAGAAAATCCAGGGTTGTTAGGTCCTCAGCCTTTAGGCCCCCAATAGAAAAGATAGCCACTACTAGGAAGTGGAAACAATATTCTCTGGTAGACTGAAGTTCACACTCCTGGTCATGAACTTGCAATATTTATAGACCAAGAACGAATTCCTTTTCTCTGGAGGTTAACCAGGAACACAGGATTCCAGGAATCTGAACAATCTTGAGCTCTCCATTCTCCTTCTGGGTAAACATGTGACAGCCCACAGGCAAGGGAACATCATTATTTAAACTTTGAGGATTCAAATACAAGATGGCAACCCTCACCACCACGTTTTTGAATTCAACTTCCTTCTAATTTCCTTGTTCTGGTGTACCCCTTAACATTTTGTGACTGCTCATCCCACTCGTAACTTCCTGATACCTCTTCTCCCTTCTTCCTTTCCGTCTCCTGATGGGTTTTATACCTGCTGCCTACTTATATCATAACTAGCCAGACTGCAGCACATACTACAAGACAAAAATTAGCTCTCAGTGTCCTAAAACCATGAAACAGACGGGAAAGCAATTATCTCCTTAGGTGGAGATAGTAAAGATTTTGGGGATAACAGGAATTTTAGCTTTATAAACAACTTTGACTCACTTCCAGGATTGGCAATGAATCAGGAAATCTCAACAGAGCTAGGAACCTAATTCCCATGCTTCCCCTACTCATGGTAACATAGGAACTGGTTGGGGATGGTGGTGGTAGTTCTGGTTTAAGAGACTATTTCTTTGTTCAAAACAGCCTCTCACCAACTGTCCTTGATAACAGTTGAGCTCAAACCCACTTACCTCTCCTTTCAGGAGTTGGGGTACATAAAGCTCAACTCTTTTGATGGTCTGGCACCATCATTATTTTTGTAACTGTTTTCTACTTTTAAAACCATCTTACGGTTTTCTCTAACTTTTTTTATTCTCTAAGTTCCTAGTCTAGTGTTTTGAAGCACCTCTTCAAACCCTGAGAACTTTTTTTTGGGAGGGGGGTAGTTATGAATCTACAGCAATTCTGAAACAAAGAACCCCTAAGATAAAGTGGAGGGAAAAAAATTACCCTCTATACCTAGTTAGATCTGCTCAAAGGGTACATATTAAGAAGTAAATGCAATGGAGCAAAAGTGGTATAGTAACAGGAAATATTTAATTTTCCAATCTCCACTTTCCATTTTTATAAACTGAAAGAAAAAAATTTAATATATTACAAAATATCTGTACATAGACAAGGTACACCCGACGGCGGGCAAAAACAAGAGAGAGAAAGGAATACAGTGTCAGGAACCTAAATCAGGGAGAATGAGGTGGCAACTGACACTTTTTTGATATAGCTCTCTCTCTCAAAACCTGCTGGTAACCATTTTAGTACTATAACTATTTATGCGTATTTTATATATATATATATATATATATATATATATATATATATATATATATACACACACACACACACACACACGTGGTTGATGTCTATGGCATAAGCTAACAAAAGTTCTACTTACAAATTTGTACTAATCGTCCTGCTTTTAAACATATAGATCTGATGTCATTTTCAAATCCTTATTCCTATGGACAGTTGGGGGAAAACCTAAGGAAACTGGGTCAAGCAAACTTTTTTTAAAACCACAAAAATGATCATGGTCAAACCAGTTTTGCCTCTCATTCATGAACAGAATCAGATTTCTCATCTGTTCAAAATAATGTATTTAATGAACTAAATATCTTCCATGGTACAAAACAAAACCCACTTTTGAATATAATTAAATATGTAATTTTCTAATAGGTTGAAATTCTGCCAAACTTTTACTTCCATCACGTTTATAGATAACATAGCTGAAAAATTAACAAATACCTTTTCTTCCTCCACAGATTCCAGGATATTTAAGTGAGTTTCTTTTTACCTCTGCTTTTAGAAATAGTCAAAATTACCAAACTTTTTTTTTTTTTTTT